TCTAGTCGAATTTCAAGAGTTAAGGATTTCAGATAATCTATTAATTTTTTTACCAAATCTCTTACATAAGTGTGGGACTCACACATATGTGGATTTGTGTGGAACCCACACTCATATAAATAGTTTGGTTAAAACTTTTAATAGATTATTTGAAATTTATAACATTTTTCAAATTTTAATTTTTTCATGTGCTTTAACACACCATAGAAGGGAAAAAAAGATGCAAGGTCATTTTGGAAGAAAAAAAAAAATCAACCCAATTATACTTGATGGATTGATAATTTTTCAATCTACGGCCAACTAGCCTATCCTCAAATTTTGTATAGTTTGATGAATGTTTTGGCATTCCAAATCAGCAATTTATGTGAGTTTTAGCGGATAGAAATAAATAGTACATAATGTGAAAAAAAATGAATAAAAATGTATTAGTTTATTTTTTAAAAAATTTCAATTAAAAGAATATATTATTTATTGAATTCTCAATACAAAACTCACAAACTAATCGAATGACCGATGTTATTCAAATCATTTTTCATAAATTAATATAAAAACAATTAATCTAAGAAAAATATGCAACAAAAATGAGAAGGGTGGCATTTTAATTTGAGTCTTGATAAAAAAAAATAAAAATAAAAATAAAAATCATGTGGCTGTTATCCATATTCCTCTTCACTTTACCTTGCAAGTCAAAAGTAGTATGCACCGAACAACTTTAATTAATCCCCTACAGTCCTCGCCTTTTTTATCCATTAAGCAACCCAAACCTCCACACCCAGTAAACAACAATAACATTCACACTCTCTCTCTCTCTCTCTCTCTCTCTCTCTCTGATTCTTTTTCTCACAGACAGGGTAAAACTTGTTTGTTTAGAAAATGTGGCAAACACCGCCTTACCGGAAATGGGCCTGAATTCGGCTCGTAACAATGAAAGAAACGAAGCCTTCCGATGTTTCCAACACGCATTAATACATAACAAATATATTTAATGAGATTTGATGAAAATATAAATTATTCTTTATAATTTTTAAAATTATATTTTATTTTTAAAATTTTTTAATTTTATAATAAATAGTGAGCCGGATTTGGAAATAAAAGTGAAAGAGTAATTAGGATTTTATTTTTTTTAGTTAATTCTGTTAAATTAAAATTTTTGACAAGGGGATATCTGTAATTTTCTAAATCATGGGAGTAATTTATATTTTAAGCAAATTTTGAGAGCGTATTTATAATTTTATCCAAAAAAATGTTTCCAACAAAATTATTTTATTCATTCCCATATCAATTTTGAATAGTCTAAAAGACTATGTTATTTCAGGAAAAAAAAAAAAAAAATCTCAATTTATTCTGAACAATTTTTTATTTTATATTACTACAAATTAGTTGAATATTAGTATACTGGAGTATACTTTTCAAAATCAACAATGATTGAGACCACTAATTTTGAAACTCTAAAAAAAAATACAATACCAAGACCAAAACATCAAATCATTTATGATGAGACCCACTATCACATCATTAATGATAGCACTAATTAACACTCTCACTCATTTTCCTTTCAAAATATTGGGTTTGTTTTGAAGTTGTCATCATATTTTGGAGTCAGTAACCATTAAGTTCTCCTGACAAGCCCAAACTGGGCCGTACTTTGTAGACTTGAGCCAGTATACTGTAGGCTAGCCCATATGCCCTCCATGTGACTCACTGGTGTAGCATTTTGTTTATTTATCATTAACGACCCGCCCAATAAATAATTTCAGAGTCTCGAGTGATTTCATGATCCAGCCCAACAATTAATTTCACGATCTCAATAGTCAACAGAGTTTCACTGTCGGAGAAACCCTAGCCGCTTGATTCGACTCGTCGCCTACGTTCCCTTTTATTCTTGAAAAATGATGAACTGTTTTAATTGAACATTCAGCTTGGTTGTTTGATCATGATTTTGTTAAAACTAAGGCCCGTTTGGGGACTTATTTTTTTAGTCAATTAGTCAAAAAGTTACTAAATTAGTCAAAAAGTCAACAACTCATATAAAAAAGTCAAAGATTCTCTTTTCTCTCTACTTTTTGCACATCTTTTCGTAATTAGTCAAAAAGTCATCCCAAACATACAAGTTTTTTTTACCTACCTTTTTAGCCAAATAGCTAAAAAATTACTAAATTAACCTGTTCCCAAACGAGGCCTAAGTTTTAATTTTCAATCTGTTTGATACTGATGATTCTTCTTCAGTTTTTTTATTACTTCTCATTGAGTAAGGTTAAGAATTGTAAATATTTTATTAAAATTTTTACTAAACATCTCATCTTTTTTTTGTTACAACTTTGACAAATTTGACAATTTTTACTAAATATCTTATCTGGGTGTTAGACTCACATAATATGCATTCCACACCCATATAAAATATTGAATAAAAATATTAATAAAATATTTAAAATCACTAACATTTTTCTTCCTCTCAATTGTCAAATTTGTTGGGCGAGAAAATAAAACCGAACCGACCGTTGATTTCGGATAGAGGAGAGGTCTACATAATAGGGGTAATTATTAAATATTTTCGAAGTATTACGTGTCTGTACTTCTTAATCAATCATCATTCAATATGTCCCTTCATATTCTCAATCATCCCACACAATATTACACCTATCCATCTTCTCAATACCCCACCTACCACTACAAGAAAATGTAGAAATGACGACTAAAAAAATTATTTTCGTCGTTAAAAGTGCCATTTTCGACGATTAAAATGGAACTAAAACAATTTAGTAGCAAAATGTATAGTTAGTGGCGACTAAAAATCAATTTAGTCGCCGATTATATGGGTTTTACCGACTAAAGGTTTTTTAGTAGCCAAAAGTGACGGTTTTTGGCGACTAAAATAATTTAGTAGCCAAAAGTATAGGTTTTGGCGACTAAAAAACAGTTTGGTCGCTGAAAGTGAAGATTTTTGGCTACTAAAAAAATTTAGTAGCTAAAAACAAGCAATTGGCGACTAAAATTCAGTTTAGTAGTCAAAATGGGACGTTTTTGGCGACTAAAAACAGGTTTAGTCGCCAAAACTGTTTATTTTTCGGCGGAACTTATTTTTTTAGCGATTAAAAAATAATTAGTAGCCCAAAATTACAGAATTGGCGACCAAATAATGGATTTAGTCGCCAAAAGTGGCCTTAATTTTTTTTTAGTAAATAATTTATTTTTTACATAAATTATATTGAATAAAATAATTATATTTATATATATAGTTTTATATTAATACGGGAATATATATTGTATGTATATTTATATGGTGTTGTAGTGGCATAGTGGAGGGAGTGTGTTGCTAAAGATTTAGAATGTGGGACAAGTTGGTGGTTCGAATCTTAGAAAAAGTAAAAAAGTTGGTATTTTTTTTTTTCACGATAGCACCTTTGGCGACTAAAATTATGAGTCGCCAAAAACGGTTTAGTCGGCGATTCAGTGAGTATTGGCGACTAAAGAATTAGTCGCTAAATGTATGATTTTCAAAAGTGTAAATCACTATTGGCGACTAAAATTTTGGTCGCTAAAGGCCTGTTTTTTGCCGACTAAAAAAGTTTTAATCGCCAATACCTCCGACGATCATGTATCCGCGACAAAAGCGGGGACTAAAAATTTTAGTCAGAAAAATTAAAAAGTCAACTTTTGACAACTAAAAATTTAATCGTCAAAGTTGATCTTTCTTATAGTGTACCCAGCTTATCTACCCATCATAATGTTATAGAATACTTTATGTCCACGTTCCGAGATTTCCGCACAAAATAATTAGTTGCCAGGTCAGTGAATACGCCAGGTCAGTGAATCCGACCCCACCCATGAACAGCTACCCCTTTCCATTCTCAATTTGTGTGCCTTTCTCATTAATCAAATAAATTGATTTTTATTTGGGTGCGGGACATCGGGTGATAATAGTAGTACTAGTATTATATATATTTAAAAAAAAAGAAAAAAAGAGAGCCGATAATACGGTGGTATTAATAATAAAAAAAAATCAAGTGGAATATTATGAATAATAAATTGTATGTGATGACATTTTAAAAAATATAATATAAGAGAAGAAGGAAAAATAAAAATAAAAATGAGTGTTGAGTGTAACATTTTAGCACTTTAATTTTATCATATTTAAGAAATATAATCATGGTTGTTTAGGTGAGGTGACCTCGGAAGATTAATAATCAATCAAAATATGTAATTCCACATTTGGTTACAAAAATTGGTGTCCAAGTTAATATTCCTCCCAAACATGGTATTCTCATGGAGAGACTATTGAGTCCCAAAAAGGAGCTAGAGTACAAAATGGGAAATTAAAAAAATGTTTAAATTAATTGGTTAAATTATAAAATTGATAAGATTTTGTCAATTTTTCTTCTTAATTTGGTCTAATCCAAAGATGTGATAGGATATACAATCTAAATGAATTAATAATTTCAAAATTAGTAATCTAAATATGATAATCCAATCTAGCTCAGTACGTGAAAAATATATACAGTGTGAAGTTAATAGTTTAGAGAAACAATTTCTTAAAAATAATAAAGAAAAGCATCTAAAATATATATTAGGAAACCGGTTCAATACACTCGGACGTAACATTTTTCTTCAAGCCCAAGTCAATATCTCGAATAATAAAGGAAAACATCTAATTCAAACACTCTTATTTATTTATTGGAAAGCAGAAGAAATTTTATTAATATGAAAACACAATTATATCAATACATACCAAGAACATATTTCACAGGAAAAAAAGAAAAAACCCTCCCAAACAAGCATCATAACTCAGAAGCATAACCCCAAATTGAAAAGAGACCAACTCAAAGAAAACTCCCAAAAACGCCTAAAAGAATGGAGCAACGCGGTGTGGAACATTCTTATTGGGCAACCAACCTGTAGCTACGCTGTGGAACGTCCTTAAGCATAGCCCAGATAAGATCAAAGTACAATGGGAACTAAGCTATTGCAAAGAATGTCACGGGCAAGCACGTCACTGCATATACCGGGATTGCCACAACCTTCAGTTCATCTTTGAGGACAAAGAAGTGTCCAGCACAGAAAGATACGAGCATTGCAGTCATTGATACGAATAGTGAAGTTAAACCCAACAAAAGTTTCCTTGGCAAGCTTGTACGGAAATCCCTCTCTTGGTGCCGAGAGGTGAGGATGGCGAGGAACATTACTAAGGCAGTCACAGAGAAGCACAGTGCAACCAGTGATGCGATGGCAAAGACGTCGAAGGCAGGCTGGTTCTCGAGCGTTGGTTTACCTTCGCTTGAATTGCCACCGGGCACGGAGCTTGCGGTGGAGAAGGCCACAGTTGCAATGAGTGCAGCCACCACAGAGCACGAGTTTGAGGTGGTGGTGAGCCATTCACCACACTGTTTGACGAGATCCTTGTGTGATTTTGTGAATATGTCCTTTGGAGTTTCATCGGCTTTTTTGTAGTGTATAAACAAACGTAGCGTCATCGAATGCTTCACAAACTGCATTACATCCAATAATGGAATGCGCAATCATATAAATTTCATAAAGTGCAGAGTCTTCTGGAAAATTTCAATCACAAAACATACTTGAAATATGTTGATAGATACAGGGTGTAGGCGCCGGGGTCTAATTTTTTTGCAATTTATTATTAATTTTATATTTATGAATATTTATAAAATATATAATGGGATGATTTCTTAATTTTATAAAAATTATTCTACTAACTTTTTATTTCACTAATATTTCATAATGTATAATGAAAATAATCTCTAATTATTTTATATCTCAAATAATATCATCAATTTTATGAAGTTGATTTTACTAATATAAGATGCACATATCATTTATTTGTTTAATTTTAAAAATAAAATGATATGTATACTTTTTTTATGGGCACTGCTAAATAATCTAAAATTTCAACCATAAATTTATTGACAATGACATGACTTGAGTCTTAGTTGATTAATTTCTAAACAATCAACTGACATGTAACCTTCAACATCATTGAGTGCAAATTTAAGAGTTATGTTATTTTTTGCTTCTCATTTATCAGATTATATTAATTGAAAAAATAACTTAAAACAATAATTTAATAACCAATTGCATACTAACATTCTAATAGTTCAAAACTTTTAAAAATTAAAAAACTATTTATTAAATTTATTTAAGTTTCTCGTAAAATATTTTTTCACAATGCTTATATAACAATTTAGATAATGTTTTTGGTTCGGCCCTGGATAGATACCACTTGATTTCCCATTGCATTTGCAAGGCGGCACCGGGGATAAGCCAGGGACGATATTCTCCAATCTTTGCAGCCAGATGCACAGCACTGTTGCCATCCTTGTCCACTTTACTAAATATGCTGTCTTTCAAGACATTCCTCTCAAGTACTTGTATACAATTCTTTTTTTATTTTTTTTTTGAACCAGAAAAAAGGAGGTTTTGTGGGGACATCACGACCTCCGCAGGCCCACTACAACATATAAGACTTTTGGCGACTAATTATTTTGGTCCCTAAAACTATTGTTTTAGTCTCTAAATGGTTCTTGTGACAAAATTAATTTCGTCACTAAAAAAGTCACTAAAAGTGCGTCTAGAAAAGTCTTTAGCGACCAATTTTTGAAAATATCCCCAAAAATGACAATTAGCGACCAATTTTATATTGTCACAAAATGTTTAATTTTACAAGACTAAACATTTGGTCGCTAATACTTCGTCATAAAATGTCCCAATTCGGTCGCAAAAAACAAAATAATGACACTTTTAACGACTATGATATCTGGTCGCTAAAAGACATAACTTTCTCTACAACACATTTTCGTTGCTAAAAATCAAAGTTAAATTTTGTAATCATTTAATCTGATAGCTAAAATGCACAAAATTAAATGTCATCCAATCATATTTTAAAAAAAAATGACATCCACATATCAAACCCACTCTATTCCCAAACCTTAATGAGTATATAGAAAGTAAATTTGACAAAAATTAAAACTGAAAGTTTCCAAATTCAAATCAAAGTAGTGACAGTTCAAATGAAGAATATCAACAATAGTTTCTTCAAAGAAAATATCTAGAAAAGCATTTTCTCAACATCAATATCAGGCTTTATATTAGACAGGCTTGGCACAAGAGGCTTCAAGCTGTACTTAGGTGTGGCACCCTTTGGACATCCCTGCAACATAAAATTCAAAAAGAAGAATCAAATAATAAGAATCAACACAACATAACCTCATTAAATAATCAATAGTCATTCATAATCAAATAAGTTACAAATAATGAAAAAACACGTTATCTCAGTGTACTTGGAGTATTAGTGAGCTATAATAAGAATCAACACAACAAGAAAGTGAGTCACCTAGAATCAACACAATAAGGTTATCATAATCCAAGCACGTTATCATAATCAAATGTTCTAAATAACAAACACACTAAATTTATAACTATGACAGATCTATCTAGAGCAAAAGGTACTTACTATCACTACAACAAAAAGCATTTTTTGCGACGTTTTTTAGCAACAAAATTGAATTTGGTTGCCAATTGTATTTTTTTGGCGACAATATACGTGTTGGTCGCCAAAAAATACACCATTAGCAACAAATATCTCAATTTGTCGCGAAAAATGGTTGGCACAATTTAATTTTTCGCGCGGGAGCGCTAAAAAAGTTTTGGCGACGAAATTAATATATGGCGACGAAATTGTTTGTCGCCAATTTGCGACTTTTTGGCGACAGAATTAAACTAGTCGCTGAAAGGTGAGTGATATTTATGACAACAAAATGATTTTCGTCGCCAATAAATTTTTTGTCAAAACGACGTCGTTTTGAATCTGTCCTTTTTATTTTTTTATTTTTTTTTAAATGACTTTTAAGTAAATAAACAAAAGTGACCTAAAATGAGACTTCGTCTTCTCATTTCAGAACCTGAAGCGGCACAAACAGGTTCAGAAGCACACATTGGAGACTTCTTCATCTTCTCCAGCAACACCTCACAAAGCCCTTCGCAATCCCCCAACAACCCAATTCTAAACTCTCTCTCCACTCCCTCAAATATCCTAACCCTCATCCAATTTCTCTTCGCTTCTCAATCTCACATTTGGGTTCCAACTCTAAACAATCCAAATGGGTCTCCGCTGTTGCTGAAGAAACTTCGGTTTCGACACAAAACCCGTCGTCCGAGGCGGCACGGAGAGTTTACATCGGAAACATTCCTCAGACTGTCAACAACGATGAGCTCCGCCAGATTGTCGAAGAGCACGGTGCTGTCGAGAAGGCCGAGGTATCAATTCTAGTTAATTATGAATTTGTCTGTGATTGCATTAGTTTAGTACTGTAGAAGTGATTTTCTTTAATTTTAATTGGGGATCCATGGAATAAATCAGTGTTATATGGCTTTGCATTAGCAATTTGTAGAAAACTTGACAGTGGATCTTGTGTATAGGTGCAATTAGAGTGAGGATCATGTTCCACTAGGATAGACAGATAAAGTTGAGAAATAAGCTCATTTAAAATGCGTTAAGTTATGATCCTATCAAACTGAAGGAGTGTCTATTGGTTTTGACATGTTCACAAGTTTGCATTGGACCAAAGCAGAAAGCAGAGGGCTCACCCTGATGCTGGGTAGACATGGAAAAGGGTTCACTTTTTTCTTGATAAAACAATTTGCAATTAGGCACTCTAACTTCCTTTCTGGATTCTACCGATAGGTTATGTATGATAAGTACTCTGGAAGGAGCCGACGATTTGCATTTGTTACGATGAAGACTGTTGAGGATGCAAATGCTGCTATTGAAAAGCTAAATGGCACAGTAAGATGTGATTATATGGTCATATTACTGGTTTTTAAAGATTAGGAATTCACTATGTATGGTTCTTTGTTTATATGAATTCTTTGAACAAATTGCTTAATTTGATCTTGTTTTCCACTACAGCAAATTGGAGGGCGAGAAATCAAAGCAAATATAACAGAAAAACCCTAACAAACTATGGATTTGCCATTTTTCCAGTCTGAAGAATCTGAATTCATTGACAGCCCCCACAAAGTTTATGTCGGCAATCTTGCAAAAACAGTAACTACAGAGATGCTCAAAAACTTCTTTGCTGAGAAAGGGAAGGTTCTTAGTGCAAAGGTATCCCGAGTTCCAGGGACCTCAAAATCTAGTGGTTTTGGGTTTGTAACATTTTCTTCAGAAGAGGCTGTCGAAGCTGTAATCTCATCCGTAAACAATGCTGTAAGTTTGCTACTCTTTTTGTTATGAAAACTTGGTCTTTTGTAACCACACAACCACAGGCCCGTGTGCTTCTGATAAGTGGTTTCATGATGGGTACTTCCATTGGATGTATGCATACAATAAATAGAAGGAAAAAATAATAGATCATTTTCATTTTTTTAATTATTTTTTGTAAATAATTGTATGAACATTCCAATTATCTCATATATATATATATATATATATTGGCAGTTGCTTGAAGGGCAGAAAATTTGTGTAAACAAGGCTTAATTAGCAGAAACTTGGTATTAACGTGGCATAGCATAGTTGGGAGAACTTGGGTTGGGGAGAATGGTTTGCACTGTAACTGTTGGATTGAGAATTGGATGTTCTTTTTGTAGAGTCAGGGAACAAGAATTACAATATTTAGAGAACATCAAACTGTTCCCAAAAAGGAAAAGGAAAAAAAAGGAACAGCCAAGTGTTGATAGTTATTAGTTGTTTTGTTTTGAGCCTCGTGTTATTTTGGTTACAACGATGAAGTTAATTGACAAAGTTTAAAGTAGTTGAGTTCTTGCATCGTTCTTCTTGTTGGAATATGGAATGTTGTATATTTAATTTAGGAATTTAATTTAAGGGTTTGATTGCGTAATTATTTAATTCCTTTTTGCATGTATCTTATATTGATTATATATAGACATGGTCTCACCTAAATTAGGGTAAGCCAATATTTTATAACTCTCTTCTTGGTATCAGAGCCAAACCCTAGCCACCCACCACCCTTCTTCTTCCCTCCACGTAGCTAAAAGTTTTTCTCTTCCTTCTCAGTCCCTCGGCAGTCCCTTTTTCTCACTACCGCAGCTTTCTTAGGTGCCGACTCGACCCTCCCTGCCTTGGGTCTAGTGCGGCTTTCCATACTGGTGTTGTTCTTCTCTCTTTACCCTTCTAGGGTTCATGTGCTGATGTGGTAAGCACTATCTAGTTTGATTTTCTGTTGTGTTGGGCTACCGGTGTGTTCGGCAGCATCTCTTTTGTGTGACGCCGCTACTTCGGCTTTGTGATGTTTCAGCATGTCTGACTTTGTTACACAAACACAGAGCATTATACCTCGTTCAGATGTTTCCTTGGCCTCCCATGTTCTGGTTCATTGGATTACTAGTGTGTTGCTCACTGGTCGCAACTTTACGGCTTGGAGTCGGTCTATATGTCTCTACCTTGAGGCTAGAGGCAAATCTGGATGGC